CATACATGTTTTCGCAGGCAGTACTCAAATACATGAGTTAACTCATCCTCTATGAGTAAAGTTTACTCATAGTACTCGAGTTAAATCATAGCGTTACTCATCTGGTCTGTGAAGAATTGGTACTCGTGGTATTTTCATACTAAAACTATTATTTTCAGCCAGATAGAGTTTTTTTCTTAGTATATTATAAGCAATGTTGAGTACGTGATACTTACATAATCTTTACTCCTCCTCTTAGAAGCTGATTCAAGCAATCACCCTTCGCGCTTTTACAATAATCGGACAAGACGAATCCTCGATGTGTCAAAGCGAACTAATTGCACCTACTGAGCGGCGAATAGCTTGCCTTTTTCATTAGGAGGCGTATCAAGAAATTGAAGAGCTCAGCCTGAACCTCTATGAATCGGGTTTGCTATGCACCTCGTAAAGAAGAATTTTAAGTCTACAATTTCAGAGGACGGGTTCGTATGCTGAATCTGGAGTCAGAAGCAAGAGCCGTTCAAGAACCTAATTCAGACTTGTTTTTTTAGTGTCAAATGGCTTTAAACTATGGCTAAGACCTACAATGATGTGATTTGTGATCCCAACAAGATTTGAATTTTTGGTGAGAAGGGAAATAAGAGGTTAGGGTGTACGTACACTATGAATTATTGGGATTCGGAATCCATGCGAATCTCAAAGGTACCGAGGGGATGTCGACTCAAAGTAGTGTATACTGGTGTGGCAATATCACAGGTCAGTGTAAACTTAGAGGACACCAACCACCCCGAAAACTTTACCGCAATGCCTGTCTTAAAGGCATGACTCAAGGAGCCAACAACCTTTGGCCGACATCACGAAGGCAGAATTCTGTATAATATTTAGAATGAGCAAGTCCTGAGTGACTCATTAAGTTCCAAACTATCAACCCCGATTTACGAGGCTTGCATAACTCAGTGCGAAGTCTTTCAGAGGTTGAACCTTTCGGAAAGTGTTACGAAAACCTTTGCGTGAGCTGCGCAGACCGCGTACGCTCCATGAAACGGAGAGTAGTACAACTTATCACTATGATAATGGCGACAAGGTCGGTGTCATTATGGATAAAATATTTCTTGCTCAAAAATCTGAACTGGCTCATCGATGAGCCCAATAGTTATAGCGACCTCCGTATTGTCACTAACGATTGTGATAATGACTTTGATCGACATAATGAGACCGTGCTATGTATATTTGCATATAGCTCAGTCCGAGAGTATAACGCAAAATTGAAAACCAAGTGCGGACAGGTCGCAGCTCTTCAAGAGTGCCCTTAATGTTTATTTCAGCAGCAGCAAGTTAGTCGGTACCTTTTACGAGAACCATACTTCTGCCTCTGCAGGCTGCATAGAGTGACGAGATATAACCTGACTTTTGGTAATGTGTACTAGTAACAGAGTCGAGATCTGAACTGTCCATCTATTTAACGTTTCAGCGACATTGAAATCAAGATATTCTCTAACTATAATACCGCTTTATAATTGTTGCACTTAAATTGCACTTGAATACGTGATAGATTATTTTTGCTTCATTGTCCAGGCTTAATCTACCAGGTGTTACCCTTGCATTTGACATCAGCATGTTGCTTTTCAGTAAGAGCGTCGTACACATGTTGCATGACGCTCAACGGCGTTGAGATTGATCGTTGATTTTGAAATGAAGAGTAGTCCGACAAGTCCGTCAGTATTGACGATCCTCATTCCCCACGATCAGAAACAGATCGTGAGGCGTCACGAGGATGCGTGACAATCCCAAACATTTATACAAGTGACGTGAGTTTTGTAGATAAATGATGGCGCATTGCATTATGAGCTCAAAGATTT